TAACCTTAAGCCTTTACTGTATAGTTACTTTCTTGTAGCAGGTTTTATGATGCTTTTTGGTTGAAGCTTTTAAATTACTAAAAGAAGATATGAGTTGCTTGATTCTAATCTTGTTTCATAGGTAGACATATTTTACAGAAGTTTGGGGTTTTTATTTCCCCCCTCCTCCCCACCTGGTCTATCACATTCATGCAGAATTTTCATTAGTGCCTTACTGTTTCAATACAGGTCAATTACTTATTGCATCTATGAAGTCTTGTCTTTCATCTGTCTACCGTTCACTTAGTGGCAGCTGAATCTTTAATCCTGTATGACTGTAGCCTGTCTCACCTTCTGTTTTCTTTTTCGTCATACCCAGATCAAGAAAAGAATGCTAGTAAGAATTCCTCTGATTGTCGTTGTGCTTAGAGTAGTTTCTTACTCTAGGGAGTTTGTCTTTTTCTCATCTAGGACTTGCAGCCATCTAAGTAGATCAGAGCATCTTGGTATTTTGGGCTTGTGATGTGCTGCCATGGGGAAAATATAGCAATGCTCCTGAACTCAGTAAGTGCAGGTGATGTTTTGTTTCTGAGACACTGATATTTCTTCTAGCGACAGGAAAGAAAATACGAGAGAGCAAATCGGTATGTTGCCTACAGCATGCTTTTTGCTGTGACTTTTTTTTTTCCTTCCTTATTTAAAGGTGGGAGGGATTTAATTTGTTTGTTTGTTTGTTTGTTTTTAAGTTCAGGCCATTTACTGAAAATCAGCTTTGATTTGTGATGTTACACGGGATGAAAGGAAATCATCCACAACAGTATATACACCGGTGATCCCAATGCTTTGTTTCTGTGGCATATTTGACAGTTAGTTCTGTTCCTCTTCTATTTAAACAAGAAGTCTTAAAATTTGAAGTGATACCTTGAGCAGAACTGTAGTTCTATAACTATATAGACTTCCTTCTGTCTGTTACGTAGTCATGGGAAGCCAATATCTTCCCTGGAAACTCAGTTGAAAAAAGACTTTTTCTTGCTTCAGAAGCCTCATAGAGTTCCTTAGTAATCTGCAAACATGGTTCATCCAGGTGAAACAGGAAAAAAACCCCAGTTATCTTTCTGTTCCATTTCTGCTGTTTTATTATTGATATAGTTGCTAGTCCTCCGTATGCCACACTTCCCTTTTTCAAAGCTGGTTGTTTTGAACTGTAGATCTTTTTAAGGAGTTCTAGTTCATAACAAGATGATAAGCAAAACATGTGGCACATATTCTGATTTAATAGTCTGTCATGATTAGAGCATGCATGTAGGATCAAGTCCCTGCAGGAATTTTATTTAAAAAGCAGGGGAGGCAGACGGTAGAGCGTGGTGGAAGAGATCGTATGTTTATTAGATGTGCAAAACAGCTGAGAATCCCATGTTCAAATGGGATCCAGACTTTAGTAATTTCTCTGTTAAATCCAGAGGTTGGAGTTCTTGTTGATGAACTTGACAAGGCATCTGGTATTCTCTCCAGACCTTTGTGGTATGCTGCTCCAAGCTTCATGTGGTCTTTGGCCTTAATTAGACAAACCATAAGCTTGTGCTTTCACGGAAATGTTTCTCCCCTCTTCTCTACTGTTTTTTTATTTCTAGTTTTACTTCTTGGCCATCTTCTCTGCAAGCATGGTGGAGTGCTCTGTTCAGAGCTCCAAGCCTGTGTTGTCACAAACAAAACTGGGCAAGGAAAAAAAAAAAGCATCTTCTGTGTAGGTGTTTTGGTTGTTTTAGAGGGAAAAGAACTGAAGGTACTAAGAGAACTGTTGTGATCCTGACAAAATACGATTATTTTAATTTATGACTGTACATATGATTCTTACTACTGTGTTGTTATTGTGCAGTGTTTTATGCTTTTCACTGAACTCTTAGTCTGTGCTCTGTAAATTAAATTTGAACCATCAATTTAACTGCATAGTAATATTTAGTGAATGTGGTTTTATATGTGTGTGTGTATATGTCAGGCTGCTTATGATATTCACAACTTCGTTTCTGGTTTCTGGCATTTAAATTGTAAAATATTTTAGAGCATTAATCTACCTTATGAAACTGAATATTAAAACTGAATTGAAATTCATGCTATTGAATATAGTAACTCAAACCTCAAATCATATGTTTTGAGAAAGGAAGGGTAGCTTGTGAAATTGAAACTAAATCGATGAAAACAGTTTTGTTAAGAATATGTTGTGGTATTAGCAAACTGAGTATGTATTGCCTCAAAAACAGTGATGTCTTACTGGAAGAGCAAAACAGTGAAACAGAAAGCTTTGGTGAACTCGACCATGTCCTTTATTTCTGTTCCTCTTGTCCTTCCATTTCATTTTTCTCTGTACTGCTTTATTTACTGCATGTACCAAGTAGTGGGTATTAATATTTGGTCTGTTCCCCAGGAAAGAAACATCAGTCAGGATTTCATGGGATGTTGAGGCCTCTGCTCCCAGGTTGACCCATTTTTTCAGGAGTAATTAACTCGCTCTAAGGAGTGAACACCAGGGTGAAAATAAGTTGGCAAGCTGGGGGGGAGCTGTTTGCACATGCCAAGTCAGAGAGAAGGAGTTGTGCATGTCATGAAGTTGGTGACAGTTAGTTCTGAGTAGTTAGTTATATGAAAAGCTCATACAGAATTTTAAAATGGTTTTCCCCAATCAAGAGTTTCTAATCATGAAGCATCATGATAAAATCAAATATTTCTAATTACTACATATTCAGAATTATATGAATCTACCCTAACTTTATGGGAAGTACTTTTCTGCTTTACCTAAAACTGTATCATGAATATCATAGTTGTCATAGTTCAAGCAATTAAGCATTCTAGGTTACAGTACTGGCCAAGAGGTAGAGTGGTTCTTTACATACAGAGATAGTTTGCCAAACTCCAAATCCATGCTGACTCCTCAGATATTGTCTGGCAATAAATATCAGAAAACATCTCCACCGCCATAATATTTAGAATAATATTAACATTTAATAATAAAGTTAAAAGTTAAGAATACTGAAATATTAAATTATGGATTTTATCTGGGCAACAGTTTTATCAGTGATGATTATACCACCATGAGTGTGTCTGTTGCACATCTTTTGCCTGCGTCTCTGACTGACTGTGAAACACACCAGAAAGAAAAGTCAAAGTACTTTGGCCCAGTGAGGCATGTCGTCATTTGAGGTACCATGGGATCCTAGAACAATACCGTCTGGAGAGTTGTGGTTGTCCTAAGACTTTCCATTCATTTGTTTATTTATTTGACATTCAGAATGCTGTCCTTTTTGTCATTTGGCTCTTCTTTTAATTTTATGCATAAAGATCTGAATTCTTGTAAATTCTAAATAGTGGGTATGATCACATTGTGTTTTGTAGGGCTAGCTGCCCAAATAGGCCAACTTCTAATCTTTTATTTCTTAAGTTACAGGCTGCTGTATAAAATTAAAGGTTATCCTGTTATATTAAATAGTACGAAATAGTTCTAAAGTGCTGGAAATATCCAACAGATGAACAAAAGTGTATCCTATGGAACAACTGAGTTTAGAAGGAACAGGAAACTGGAACAGAAATGTAAAGTTTTGTCATCTTCAGTGGAAAGCTGGCTCTGGACAAAGCAGATGGACAAAGCAGTTGTGGTGTTTGTATGTTATGAAGTTGCTATGGGTCTTGGGGAAACACCACAGTCTTTTCAGCATCCGCTTGTCAGTCACATTCCAGTTGTGGAAGTGGAAGGAAGAGATCTGCTGCTGTTAGAGGTACCTACACCTGCAATACCTTCTCACAACTCACCTGTAAAAAGTTTCTTTCTGTGACTTTTGAAACAAGGGGTGTAGTCTTACAGGTGGAGATCCTCTTATGTTGGTCTGTGCCGAATGAGGCAGCACCCAGACCATTTTTCCTTTCATTGACTGCAGGAAAGGTAACAAATTCAAAGCAATGCTCTCAGAAGAATTACTAGAAGTGTGTAGAGGGAGGAGGGGAAGTTAAGCTCCTTATTGGGATTGCTTTCCCTGAACTTCTGCTCTGTGTTGGGAGGGAATGGCTCTTATTTTGTCTGTTTTAAGGATGTTGGAACTATCTCAAGATTGGCTTTGCTGTCTCCATTGTTGTAAAATTAGGCCAAATTAATGAGCAGAAACCGTTTTCTATGGCAGAATGCAAGTGTGGTTAAGTATAACCTGAAGTATAACCTTTTCTTCAGCTTGTGGTAGATGTAGTGCTACAGCTGAGTTACCCATGATTTTTGCCATGCTATCTATCTCACAAGATTGTGAATCATTTGACAGAGTCACATAGATCACAAGTCGATCACAACAAGAAGCCAATCAGAATGCCTTTGAAGTATAATGAAATTTATTGTGTATGTACTCTTAAATGGTTACATTTTTTAGCCCTTGTGTATCAGATTGACCTTCAAGTTTTCAACCAGTATTTTATATACACCATGCTGCTATGTGTATGTAAATATATGTGTGTGTTTTTCTAACATCTTACTAAATTCTGTGGTTAAATCTAATGAATACTGTAAATATACATATATAAAAATATACTGTTTATAAGGAGTAGCTTTTTGTTACTCCTTCTGAGTGAATTCTAGCTACTTCTGCTTGTTCTAAGAATGACAATATAAGTTGTAGAGGTTTTGGATTTAATTTTATTTTTCTACTTTTGAAAAACTAAAGAACAGTGAAATAGATTCACCTCTAGCTTATAGAATTTAAATAGTTAAAAACTTTGAATCAAGGATTTGTTATTCCAGGTGATGGAAAAATTAGAAGATAAGTCATAATATATTTAATTTTGTTTATGTATTTGTGAATGGAGTTAATGAGATGCAAAACTTTAGAGGGGCAAAGCAATTCAATGGTACCATTTCTTTTCAGGGTGAAATTGCACCTAAGAGGATTTCCTTAACTCCTGACCATTGCTTTAAGTTAAATTGTCAGCTCTGTGTGGGACAGTTCTAATTGCTTTATCTGCATTTATTTAAGGTGCATGTTTGTTTTTAGATTCACCAAAAATCTGTCACCTGACAAGATCAACCTGAGCACATTGAAGGGGGAAGGTCAGCTGACCAATTTAGAGCTGGATCAAGAGGTACTTCAGAACATGCTGGATCTTCCAACATGGCTTGCTATAAACAAGGTCTTTTGCAATAAAGCATCTATTAGGGTGAGTATTTTATTGTGCCAGAATGGTAATTAACCAGATATTTCTTTTTTTCCCTTCTGTCTCTGTACAATTTCAAGCAACTTTGTATTTGAGAAAAATTGTGATGAGTGCTTGATAAAATTTTTGAGAAAAACAAAGATGTTACCAGCAATAATTTTTGCTAGTTTTTGTATCTCGTGATGGCTTGAAATATGAATGGAAGCAATGAAGATAAGGAATGATAATTTTATTTATTTATTTTCTCAGTAGAATTTATTCCTGCATATTCTAAAATAGGGGTAGAGACAAAAGCATGTATTTGCCCGTGGTAGTGAGTCTATTATTTTTTATTATCATATATATATATATTCTTCTCTTTGCCGCTCTTCTTCTATTGCTTTCTCTCTTGTTCCTTTCATATTTCCAAAAATATCTTTCTAAAGGATTCTGGTCCTCTGGGAAATGTGGAAACTCTCTAAATTTAGTAGAGGTTGCTTTTTGGTCCTAGTGGCTGGGAGGAATTGAAGCAATGTATATCATCTCTCCTAGATTATACTAATACAAGAATAAGAAATGAAGCTATGACTTCTTTTTGACAGCAGTTATGATCTGGTCAAACCTTGGCGTCTCTTTAGTCTTTTGGTTTTGTTTGTTTGTTTGTTTTGTTTCCCTCCCTAATTGCAGTGAACTTGATTCTTTGTTGCAGGCATCCAATTGTAGGCCAACAGTGCAAATGTGGATTTTCTTTCCTTTTAAAGGAAAGAATGTGAAGGACGGTGTTGCTTTCACTCATGCTTGACAACTTGGTATTAAAGACACAGATTCTATTTTATTCCTCTATTTTCTGCTCAGTGATAAATAAATTTTGAAGTTCTGTTTTTAACACCTAAAATAAATTTATGTGTGTGCATAAATTTACAGTATTTTTAGATAAATGTGATATTTTGAAAGTAATATAACTGAGTTCAGCAGTTGCAAATGTAATTTGTATACACAAACCACATGCTAAAGAAAATATTTATTTTACTGTATTTTTAATATTTAGTTTGCTTTAGAATAATGTTTTGCCTTGCAGATACCATGGACAAAATTGAAAACACATCCTATCTCTTTGGTAAGTTCTTAGATCAACTCCTAAATATACTCTGTGTAGCAGAATTTGTCTCAAATGTTTATATAGTTCTTTTGACTTGACTCTAGAAATAACTGAACCATTAACAGGCCATTACAAATCATCTTCTGGGTACTGGCAGATGGAGACAAAATGCCTTAATGTTTTTTTTGGTAGGTTTGTTTTCTTCATCTGTGGCTTTGGGTGTCATCACTATAATGTTTGACTGTTAGCTAATTTCTGTCAAGTTCTTCAGTCATGACATCTTAATTTGGGTTCACCTGAAGGGTAGTTAATAGTCAATCTAACCCTTATACAAATTTCTGCCTGTCTTTTAGAGCTATCTTTTTTTTAAGGACTTTTTTTATTCTATATCAGTACTCACTGCAATGATCTCAGTTACTGCAGGTCTGATACACATAACATTTACAGGGTTTCTGTAACAGCCTTGGATTCAGCCTGGATATAAAAAGTGTATATATATAAACAGGATATAAAGTGTATATACATAAACAGGATATAAAAAGTGTAAATAGGACTCAGTAACAATTAGAAGTAATGCTAATTCTTGCATTTGTTTAATTTTGTTCTCTATTTCTAAGTATACTAAGAAATGCGGTAGCACCAGAAGTGATTTGCTTGATGATAGCTAAACTTTCTTAATTGTGTTTAGTTAGGGAATGAAGTCCTTTAACTGTCATGCTTCCAAGTCTTGCCATGAATTCCTGAATGTGTTTGTAATTCCTTAGTTCTGAATCAGACTTGGGAAAGACATGTTGTTTTAAATACTTGATGGATTTACTAGTGACCTAGTTGTAGTGTACTAATGTCTGTACTGCCTCTTCCTTGACACACAGACCTTAAAGTGTGGTAATGCTGAGTTGAGATGATTCTACCTCTAGACTGTAAGATGCAACTGCCAAATTGGGAAGGTCAGTTTAGGGTGTGCTATTTTCTTAATGATTACATACTTCGACTTAGGGTAGCAAGACCTGATTGTTTGCTTTACTCCTGTTGAACTTACGTTAGTGATCTTAGAGGATAAGATAACTTTCAAGGTCACCTTTTTTACATAAGGCTTTCCTTGAACAGTACATTAAATTCATAACAAAAGTTCACTCTTCAATGGTAGACTGTACAACAGGCTTTTTGACTTCTAAAGGAGGGGAATTCAATGGCCTAACTGTCCCAGCTTCAGCCCCTTATTACATCACTGAACTTCCACTATTTTGGAGAGTATTTTTTCCTACTGAGAGTTTCATGAAATTGGAATAGCATCCTCTTTACATAGCTCAGGAGGTAACTAGAACTCACTTGTCTAGCCAAGGGTTCTTTCATTGACCTGAGTTGCGCTTTGTGAAAATCTGTCTGTTAACATAGTGGCAAGTAGTAAGTTATCTTTGCTAATAATGAATTTCTGTTTCTATATGATAGAGTGTAATTTTAGATTTTATATTAGATATTTACATTATATATTTATATAGTATAGTTTATAGGAGTGTTTTGGGGACCCAGCGGTGCTATGCAGCAGTTTTTCCTCTATCAAAATACAGTATTTGTCAATGAGAAAAGAAAAGATAGATATCTACATCCAGGTGTTCTTTGTTAACTCCTGTTTATATTATGCAAACTCCTTAAATCACTGCCCTACTGTTCTTTCACCTTCTTTCACCTAGTCATGTAGTGAAGGAAATTGTTCCAAAGGTCTCAATTTAAGAAACCTTAGAAGAGTGGTCAAACATCAAAAAAAGTTAGGATAACCAGGAGAAATCTTGGCTTCCCCCCACCATCTTTGAACTAGTCTATTGGGGGTTTTTTCTTGTTTTCTTCTATTGTTGTTTTGCAGTGTGAGTTATTCATTGAGACAGCTAAGCATCAAAATACAGTAAAGTATAAATAAATCCAGAGTAGAGAGTTTATGAACTTCTAGATGGTAGTCAGGGCATTTCGTGGATAAGAGTAGCATAGAAAAATGTTTGTGGAGCAAGTGGATTATGAAGACAGCCACAATTAACATAATATGATAATAAAGTCCAGTAGGTAGGGCCCACTGAATCATGAAAAATCTAAAAATCGAGGACAAAGCATTTAGTGTGCTTTGTCTGACCTAAGAGAGGGTAAACGAAGGAATTCAGAAGGGATGGTACGAAGTCGGATAGGAAGTAGGTGTTGTGTTTTGAATGAGCTTCCTGTAGGACAAGATTTCAGAACTATAAGCCTTAAATGAAAAGCCTTCCCAGGTTGTGTGATAAATATAAGTCACAACCATTGTAATACAAGTTAGGAGAATCTTGGCTTTATCTGGTAGTTGGGAATAAGATTTTGCATTTGGCTTGTTCCCATTATGTTTGTCCCTCTGTTAGTATGCATTATTTATGATTTGTGTTATAGTTCAGCTGTTTAAATATGGCCTTCAGTTAAAATAGGATTTAGGTGTCCCATTCCCTTAATTCCCAGCATTGTTTGTAAGGGTCCCACCGCAAATACAAAAAATACAATAATAGCATATGATTCTACTATAATTTAACATGTTGCAAATTATACTAGAATATATCTTTTAAGAAAACTACTTGTTTTACTAAATCTTCTGAAGATTCATATACACACACGAGTATATACATACTATGTGTATATATATATTATATATATTCAGATTTTGTTTTAAAGATGCAGCACAAATCTTGCATCTATTATCACAAGTTTTAGTGGACTAGTTTCCAATATTTTTCATTAAAATTTTCTGACCTTACTGAACCATTTAGAAAACGCCATAGGTGTTAAATATTTCACTGACAAAGCAACCATGCAGGAAGAAGACACATATGTGTACGCATTAAGTCATGCCCCCTTTGAAATGCAATTTTTGAAAATGGGTATGATAATAATACTTGGGGATCAAGAATTCTGTAATACAGTATTTGACTGGGAAGATCTGTTATAATTCGTAATGTTTAAAAAATTAATAAGAACAAATTAAAAAAAATAATTCTGATACATTATAAAAGTTTAGGGGAAAATAGACATGGTGAGAAATGTTCTATGTATATTTCAGAGGAAGTTCTCAAAATAATTTTATTTTTGATTGGTTGTTTTTTTGTTCTTCATATGTCATCTATTTGTTACCTCTTAGGTCTCCAATTCTTTGTTTTGTTTTGTTTTTCAAGTCCTTGGATAAAGTTGTAATGGAAATGAGCACATGTGAAGAGCCACGTGCCCCTAATGGACCCTCTCCTATAGCAACTGCATCTGGACAGAGGTCAGTGATGATATTTACATGTAATTGATCCTGAAAAGTTTAAATAACTAAAAACGTTAGATCCACTCCAAATTTCCAGAAGTATATAGGGTAGCAGCTTGCCATTTCCATGTCTCCAAAATTTTACTTTATTACTTGTGGGTGGAGTAACATGTATAGTGCAAATGGAACTATCCAGACGTGAGCCTGGAAAGAATGTCTGAATTAAGTATGGAACTTCCTAGGAAAGTTTCATATGGGTGCAACTACTACCTCAAACATCAAGTTTAATTGGTGTTAAGGTTTTTGAAAATTAAACATATTTTGCCTTCATTCTTACTGAAAAATACATAGAATGCTGGGTTGGTTTTTAAAGTTTTTTGGTTTGGTCTAAAAACCAGTATTAAGAGCTATTTATTCGTGTGATGTTTTAAAGTTCCATTTCTTAAATTTTATCAGCCAAATCTTACTGAAGGAGTTCATGTATACTTTATAGCCCAAAACTCAAGTAATTTGATCGGACAATATAGCATTACATCAGGGATTTCCACAGTCACAACCACACTAAGCATTTCCTTTTTACAGACCCAAAACATTTTTCAGTGGGCATAGGGACCCGTATATAGACAAACGAAATTGATGATACAATTACTTTCCTTGTTTTAACTTCTGCATTATATGTAGAATGTGTCCATGGGCCTTTATGTCTCCTAGGGTACAGCTTGAGAATCATTGCCATAGAGATTCTGTGTAGGATGAAAGTTATAAAAGGGAAAAGGAATGACAAACCACATAAACTGTATTTTTTAAAAAATCAGGAAAAAAAAACCAAAGTGAAAAAAAAATGTGGATGTTAAAAGAATGTTTAAAATACGATTTTCCATTCACTAATTAAAAACATTCTGAACACATAAGATTTTTATTAAAATTAGTTGCAGCTGGTTTTATTTTTTAATACTGGAATGCATGTTGATTTGGTGTAGAAATGTAATTGCCATTTAGGATGCATTTCTTTTCTAGAATGAAACAAAACAAATACTTAATACTGTTTTGCATGTATGAAAGACACTAGTTTAAATGGATGGAATAACTTAGTTTATAGAGATAAATGCTAACCAGATTGGAGTTGTCAAATAATTAATTTGATATGAATTACTCCGTATATATACATAAAGAAGAGTAAGATTTCTATGTAATGCTGTACTGTTAATTTATACATTTATATATATGTATGAAATATTAAGCATGGAAAATTGCATTTATTGTTATACTTCATGGATATTGATCTTAGTCCAAAATATGTTCTTTAATAACTATTTTGGGATTAGGATCATAGGGTGTAAAATTACTGTAAACTAGATCCAGTATATTTACAAAAATTCATAACTGGGGAATACATTAGGAACTTATTTTGTGGTTGTGTCATGTTGATGTCCCTGCCCATGGCAGGAGGGTTGAAACTAGATGATTCTGTGTTGCATTTCAGCTGTTCAATAAGTTTAACCTTATGTCCTTTCATTAGGTGTGTGTCTAATATGTTGGCATTTCACTTTTTAGTGAATACGGCTTTGCTGAAAAAGTGGTAGAAGGCATTTCAGTTTCTGTGAACTCCATTGTAATAAGGATTGGTGCAAAAGCATTTAACGCTTCATTTGAACTTTCCCAGCTGAGAATATATAGTGTAAATGCAAACTGGGAACATGCTGACCTCAGATTTACTAGAATACAAGAAGCTCAACGTGGAGAGGTAAATACTATCTTTTGGTAGTCTTATTTTACTTGTTTTTTGGGGTAAAGGAGAAGGAAATTGAATTGCAACTTCATACAGTCTAGGAAAGATACTGTTACTGGGAATGGAGACATTCTGTGCTCAGTAATTTAATCTAGGAACACAATGATATAAAAATGGGGGATGTGAGTCAGATCAAATGTTATGTCTCAAAGTAGTGTCCAAAGTGAATGCTTAGGGAAGAGCAAAGACCAGGGCAAGCATATGTACTTTCTCCAAGCTTGTGGCCATTTTAAAATGCAAACTAGACGAGACTTGAAGTGTACTGGAACAGAAGAGAATGGTATATTAAATGTGGAAAGATAAGGTGTTGTGCTGTTTTTCTTATTTTTAATGCTTCAACTGGTTATTTTTTTTGCTTGCCGGGGTTGCCTAAGGATTTTTTTTTTTCTTTAAGCAGTTTTAACTGAATGTTAATAAAGTTCCTAGGCAAGAATTAACTATTTTCTTAGACTAACTGAAGCATATGTATACAAAAAAGTAATAGCAGTCAAGTGCATACTTTTCTGCTGTGTGGGAGAACTTAACATGGAAGTCCTACATTATCATACACCATTTGTTTGCTTTTTCCCATGTAACCAGAGTCAAATGTATAGAGTGCAAGGTTGCCTCTAAATAGTGTTATGTTGTATTGAGAAAGACTTACTTTAGCATCCATCTGGCCTGGGATAAGTAGGTTTTTCAAATTTTGCCTGTGTTTGCCCATTTCAAGGTGATTATTCCAGATTAGTGTTCACTCAAGGAGTCTGGTAGTTGCTTTTCATGTAGGAAAAGAAACCCCAAGAGTTAAAAATACCACAAAAAGAATAAGTCAAAAACTGTTTTTCTAACAGGTTATCTTTCCTGCAGCTTATCTGTATTCTAATGCTCATGCATTAATGAAGTCTAAAGAGGAAAAGTTAAAAGTTTGACTAAATGGAATTTTGTGTTGCCGTGTTTTTTGTTGTGCTTCTTAGGAAGAGTTTAATGCTGAACAGTTGCTCCATACACAACAGACCTTTCCCTGGGGAGTACTTTATTTTAGCACAATGAATTCTGGAAACACAATTTTCTGGAAAGTGTAGTGAACAATTTGTTAGTATATTGCATGAAAGGGTGAAAAATAAAACTGATGGTGTACTGTAACTTGTGCAAAACTACATTTTTAGGGAGTAAGCTTTTAGCTTTGCAGTGTAGTTAAACTCTTAATGTAATAAGGAATCTCCTCAGAAGTTTTCTGAAGCTTCCATTCGTGCTGTATCTCCTGGATGAGAAGGGTAGGTACTCCGCTTTTCTGCAAATAGTGTTTTTCAGGCTACTTTGCACTATGCCTTTCCATCTTGCTTACTTTGTGTGTGCCTCCTTCACAAAGACATTGAGGGAGTTTTACTTAAGTTTCTGCTTATATTTGCAGGACATAGGTTGTACAGTTTTCAAATTGACAAGAGAATTGCAGTTGAAAAATAAGACACATACCAAACAAACTCTTCCCTGTTCCACTTTCCACACGGCTGAACTTTTTTCTTCAGAGAGTAAAGAAGAAAGGAGTTATAGGGCAACTAGAAATAACATTGGGTTCCCCTCCTCCC